AGCGACGGCTGGAGGTTGGTCGCCGCGAGGTTGGTCGCGACTTCAAATCCCGCCGTGTCGACGTGCGTCACGAGCGCCGTGTCGTTGTCGTTGTTGTTGAGGTAGCTTGTAAGCATGCTCTCCATCGTATGTTGGTTCATCTTGAGCGCTTGCAATGACGTGGCGTACGGAAGACGCAGGTCCAAACGCACGTAGCTGACGTGAGCTGGGTTCGGCACGGAGGGCACAACGTAGTCGTAGCTTTGGCCGAGCACGAGCCATGAGAGGTGTCCGAGGAGCACGAGGCCCCAGAGTCGCAGTGCCATCCTCGGGTCGAGTTGTCTACTGCGTGCCACGTCGTCCTCCGCAAAAAAGCAGCAAAATCCTAAAAGGATTGCATGTCTCTCGTCGAAAGGTCACGAGCTCGCTTTTGGCACCTCGCAACCAACGGTCCGACGATTCTACGATCCAAAGAGCTGCACGCTGCAAAGATCGCGCGTCGACTTCTCAGCCAAGGTCATGCAAGGATATTTATGGCATTGTCATACATAGCAAGGACATACATATGCAGGGTGTATCGCGAAACGGTCTCCGAAAATCCCCAGCACGTTCAGGGGGCTAGAGTAGACCCGTGGGACGACCCTGGGCATGTCGGTCTATATTATACCATTACTAGGACGGTGCATTCATGTTTGAAACATATTATTCTGTTCTATATCATGTGAGTGTACAATGCGAGGTCGTTGCAAAATATACCGGTACATCTGGATAGCGCGAGGATCTGAGCGCTGTACATCTTACTCAATCGCTCGTCATCGGACACGTTTATTCACTGTGCCACATCGATGGTCGAAGACGGTCGCTTTTAGCCTCAGGGATGCATGGAAGAAAGTCCAAGCACTCGCGATCCGGCCGTCGATCGCTCGCTCCAAGTCTATTTTGGGCATCCAAACGAGTACAGTATTTAGGAGGGTAAACAGTATTTAGGAGGGTAAAGGATACTGTGTATTTAGGAGGGTAAAGGTTTTGATTGGCTGGTTTGTGAGTTTGCGGATTTTTTTAGATTCTCGCATCCAAACAGAATAAGTCGCATTTTTTGATTAGTCTATTTTTGATATTGGCCCGTAAATCGCCGCTCGCCATTGGTGGAATGGAAATAGTGTATATTGTGACGCTGCCTACGTGCTATTCCTCCCCACGTCTCGGTGCGGTCCGACTGGTCGGCTCGAAAATGGAGCCCGAGCCGGTATAGGTCCGCTTGACACTTTCAGCCGACAGTCCAGACCAAGCCGCGGGAGCCTACTACCGTGCGTGTTCAACCTGTCGCGTTCGCGTTCTTTCAAGCCGCATGCAAGTCAGGCAGTGTTGCGCCAGCCTTTCCTTTGCACTTGTCGAAGCGCCCACGCACTTAGTTTTGCGGGTGCCGCCCCCCATTGGTGAGAAATGCTTGTCGTGGAGGCCATCGACGCCAGGATGACGCTGCGGCAGACATCAATAATATGAAAGTAGATTGCTTCAATAAGTTTATTGCCACCGTATCGTGGTGCTGCTGTGCAAGGGCATTAATTAGCCACATATTGAGGGCGTTGAGGGGTTACTTGTGTTCCAATGCACAGCCTCCGCAGCCAGCAACAGCTTACTCGGCGGCGGCGCGACGCCACTATACATAGCAGCGACGTATCGGGCGCATCGTTGGCTCGAGCTATGCGCTTACGTCATCGACATCGTCGCCACATCGTGAGCCTCCCTGGGGTCCATGAGGTTGCTGTACTGCAAGCTGACGGCAAACGCGCGGGCCTGCGAACAGCGCGGCGGACGGACGGCGCAGTCCATGTGGGTGGGCGACCCCTTCGACTTCGTGTTCCAAGTCTTCGGCCTCAAACTTGGTCCATCCGCTCCATGTTTGTACTCGTCGTCGTCGGCAACAATGACATCGTTTGGGTGCACGGCGGCCGTCGCTGCCGACGACGTGACCGGCGGCGATGGCAATCGCAAGTTTAGGGAATGTCAGCATGACGTTGCACAAGAGACCACAAGCAAGGGTATATAACGTCTATTTTATACCCTTGCCACAAGCCAGCACGGCGGGCGCCAACGACACGCCCCGGAGCGACTGCAACGAGTAGTTGAGACCGCTTGACGCGCTTCTCGTCACGACCAACGAGACGTTGAGCGTTGAGTACGAGATGGTTGCGTTGAAGGTCGTGTTGGGCATAGAGACAGGCGTCGGCCGTCGTCGAGAGGACTACGTTTTTGGGCGGCCCGTTGATCATTGGAGTGTTGAGTGCGCACTGTTGGTTGCTCATGCACGAGTAGTAGAGTGCAAGGGCGTCATCGCCTTGAGTGACCATCGGTGTCTGAGGGTCGACATAATATGTCGACCCTCAGACACCGATGGTCACGGCTCCTCACTATTATATTATAATAGTGAGGAGCCGCATGCCCTTAGAGAGTGTCGCTTGTTCAATGAGAAGGAGGTTAGCTACCTCAAAAAAGTCCCAAGAGTTTGGGTCCCCACCATCAGAAAGCTGCCGGTATGGAATTCGCCGCAATGATCCCGAAGTTGCCAATTGGATCCGGAAATTACGGGGCCATCCGGATATGATGTAGTAATCCGGATACGCGTCGATCGGCTAGCATATCGTCATTGCCATGGCCCGTAGCAGCGCGCAGCTCGAGGTCGACCGCCTCAACCTTTCGCTGCACTACGAGAAGCTCCTTCTGGCGCCGCCGACACGCCACCTGCCCGTGACGATCCTCACGGGCTTCCTCGGCAGCGGCAAGACGACGCTGCTGCGCCACATCCTCAAGAACCGCCTCAACCTGCGCGTGTGCTGCTGCGTGAGCGACGTCGCCGCGCTCAACGTCGACGAGCAGCTCATCACCGAGTCCAAGACGCGCACGTCAACGGGGTTCCTCATGGAGAACGGCTGCATGTGCTGCCCCGTGCGCCTCGACGTCGACAA